TATGAACAAATTCAGAATAAGGTTCATCTGGCCCCTGCCTGATATTACTAAGACTAGTGCTAAGATCGCCCGCTGATGGAAGTTGTTTCCACGCTCGGCGCGCACAATTAGTGATCTGTTCATAAACTGGTAGTGTATAATTAACCTGGGCTTGCATGCTTTCGAACAATCCTTCTCCCATAAGCATGTCATAATTTGCCAAGGCAGCTCCAGCATTAACATTGCGGATGGCAGCCGCCTTGCATTGCTCAGAGTAATAGGATTTCCACAGGAGGAAATCTCCCCCTGAAAGAACTGCGCGGCAGACCACAATCCAGTCACTTGGTGTTAGCCAGGATCCAGCAATGGAGTCCAGGATAGCACAAGTGAAAGGAGCTGCAGTGCCATACTGATTCACAGCAGTTTTTAATGCTTTCACCAATTTAAACTCGAGGGCGATGTTCTCTAATCGGCCCTTGGGGTCCCTCTTCTTGAACGATGGGGAATAGTCTAAAGACTTCCTCCCCTTGTGCTGCGGCGCATTTGAGAGCCTCTTGTAAAAGAGATGCTATGCCTTGAGACCCTTCAGATGTTATGGAGTCTTTATCTTTAGGCTCATTGGTAGGCCTGGCCTCTGAGGCACGAAGAGACGCAAGTCTACTCGAGAGGCATGAAATCTGCTGCCTCAGCTGAAGCTCCTCTCTGAGCTCCTGATTAATAGTACATAACTGAGCCAGGTTTGCCTCCCTCTGAGTGGGGGGCAGTGCAGAAGGCGGTGGACGCTCAAGTGTTTTTTGAAAAGCCTCAAAACTGGGATATAGCGCTGCGGGGGGTCCTCTGGAATCTGGAGGCTCGGGGGCTCAAGTGAAAGAGGACATTCTCTAGCGTCTTTTTCTGGACCAGATTCAGGGGGCTCTGAAGTCTGAGAGAGCTCCTCTCTAATTTGTTCTAACCCTTCATGCACCTCGTCTAAGGCTTCCAAGATTTCCTTTTTGGTTGGGGTCCTGAGAGCTGTGTTTAACAAAGTCCAATAAAAAGGAGTACTTTCTGGAAAACGATCGGGCTCAGCCACAAGGGCTTTATTCAACTGTTTTCCAGCTCTCTCCCATGCTTCAGCATTTATTTCTGCCTCATCACACAGCCATGGACAAACTGTGTCCAGAATCTTAACAAAGGCCTCTAATTGTGCCCTCTCAACTGTTACTCCTTGTGCCTTCAATAGGCTCTGAATTGAATTTGCTAGATAATTTCTGGATTCTGATTGCCCCATAATTAACAATTTCTAACTTATAAAATCTTTCTAACTTATAAAATCTTCCCACGGACTTGACACCCTCTACCTTCTTTCACTTTTTCTTTCGTGAAGTGAATGGTAGACTTACTGCGAGGATCAGGCACAGCGGTCAGTCCTCTGGAGCACCGTTGCTGCCTTCAACCTGGGTCCGGGATTATGTATCCTCATCAACTTTCAGGTCCCTGTTCAGGCGCCACTTGTCGCAAGCCGCGACGTCAGGATCCTGCCAGCAGGTCCTAAACCTGAAAGGACGAGGACAGAGAGACGGGAGGCACTTTTCTTCTCATGGTACTTGCTGCACTGCTTTATTACCGAACCTCTCCTTTTATACTCCCCAGCTGCGCGGCTGCAAGAGTGCCGCCCACACATTCCGGAAGAAATCCGTTAAACCATTACATTTTCTAGGCAACAGATCAGACCATCAGTTGAACTAGCCCGTTGCTATGGGCGACGGCACGTCCACACTGCTCGGGTGAATCACAGGTCAATATGGCTGTGCTCATGTCACGCTCTTTTTACAATGCTCTCCATACTGGAGTTTTATCTGTTTTCCATCAATTGTTATCATTTGAGCACCAAACTCTACACCAATAGTGAGGTCATGCACTGGCTGAAATCTCTTGTCTGTAAACTGTAGCAATAAACATGATTTACCAACACCTGTGTCGTCGATGATAATATACTTAAAAAGATCGGTGCCAGGGCACATGGCTCCTCCTCCTGCTACTGCTCCTCCTCCGCGCCCCTCACCCCAGCGCAGCTCAGCCTGAAACTCCAGGCCCCGTCTGCTGCCGCCGGTGCCACCGCCACTGTGGCCGTCAGCCGCCGGGAATAAGGGCCCGAGGGGAAGCCGGACAAACAGCCATGTTTGGTTTTAAGATATGTTACTACAGGAAGAGCCTCCACCTGCACGCCTGTCATCCCGGGCACAGGACACACTGGGATGCACAGTCCTGTCCCTACTGTCAGTCTCGGGCAGGAGCAGATGGCTTTGTCTGCCAGACTACTGCACATGACAAGGATGCTGGGCCCTTCCAAATGTCCTGCAGGTTGCTATAGCTCTGGATGACACCACCTGCTGAGGTTGTGGGGCTTGTCGGGAATGTCCCTAGGCCTCCACATGAGGTTGTCTGCAGTGATGCTAAAGCCCCCCACATAGCAGGCTCAGGGCAGAGCCCCAGAGGTGACAGGACAGCCGAGTCTGCACGAGGCCACTCCTCAGATCGGCGAATGGTTCCCAGGAAGTAACAGCTCCAGGAGGCTGTGGGACAGGCACACTGGTCCTATGTTACTACAAAGAGTCAAGAGTCTTGGAAATTAAAAAATTACAACTGGTAAGGGTTATTTTTTGGCTAGAAAATAATCACTTTTAATTCATTATAAATGAATTCTACCATGTGTACAAAATTTATAATAGATTACAAGTGGTATGCTAGGCTTTCACGTTCTTGAGAGGCAGGCAGCGGAACCTCTGAGCTAAATCCCTAGCCCTATTTCATGGGATTTTAAAAACGTAAAGTAAAAATGTTGTTTCAGTGAGTTCAAGACCACGTTCTCTCACACACGAGGCAAGAGCTCTACCACTGAGACACACCCCCAGGCATGACAGCAATTTTCAAGGGCCTCAAGAGGACCCACTCTGCCTTTGCTACTGTGGTCTTTGTCCTTTGAAAACTAAATGCAAAAAGAAAAAAAAAACAAAACAACTAAATGCATTTCCCTTAATGCAGTTCCCTTCATGTGTTCCTCCTGTTAAAGTATAACTGTCTGAATTGGATTTCAGCCTTATTGACAGCTTGGTTTAATGACAGGAATTCCACAGTAGCCTCGCTTCACAGTGGTGAGTCCCAACTTTGCACAGTTTGTGAAATGTGCATACCTTCCCTGTGTCTTATTTTTGTTTTACTTACCAAGTCATTCGACAAGCTTTCTTTGAGCAATACTGTATCCAAAGCACCATTCTGGATATTGTAAATGCAGTGGTGAGTGAGGTAAGCAGTTACCGCTTTCTTTCATTCTGACTTTGCTCATTATTAGAACTCAGCAGCACACAGGGAAGAATATGGAGAGATGGGTGTTACTGGTTGGATAAATGGAGTAAAGAAAGATATCCAGTGTTCACCTGTTCACACTTCTGGCTTCACCCACTAGTTCTTGGTCTGGCAGTCTCACTCTAGAAACTCTAAACAGCTCTGAGGTTGGCCTAACATCTTGAAATGAGCAGAAGACCTGGTGAATTCTTTTATAATCTGCATCATCAGATCTCACATGACATTTCAGTGCAGCGAACTCTCCATGGGAGGTGGTTCAACTCCCATATTGAATGCTGCAGCGGGACCCAAAAGCTTCTGTGTTATGACCCCGACTGTGGAGGGCCATGAGGGCATGAGCTAAGGAGTTCCTTTGTCCCTTGTGGAAAGCTCTTCTTCCTGTCTGCAACTGCAGGACCCTCGCTGGGGCTACACTCTGGTGGGACCTGAAGATAACAGAAAAGGGAGGGCAGCTTGGTATAATCCATAATGGTAATGGGCTACTCTTCTACCTCCAGGACTCCCCTCCCTTGCAACACACAGTGCAGGAAACATTGCAGTTGGCAGCAGAATCTTACCCACGGCAAATCTGCATACTGTGAAAACTGCCCTTTACCTTCCCCCACAGCCCTCTCCCGATCCTTTGCTGCTGCTAGCCCCTCTTGTTTGAGTGTCCTTTTCTGAGAGAGAAGACTCATGAGTGAGCATGTTTTAAGCTCTCCAGGATGTGAGTTTTCTTTCCCCGGGTGGCCATTCAGCGCACAGACTCAGTTCCTATTTCTCTCTCTGGCTGCCTGCTCAGGTTGGATCCAATCCAACAGACACTGTGGCAGTGGGCATCACCATCGGCTCGGTCCAGAGTGAGACCAGATTGGACTCTGGGGAGCCAGAGGCTGTCTTTCACAGGGGAAGCCCTAGATTAGAGCTTGCTTCATGGGTTTTTGACATCCTTCACCCTTAAGTGAAGCTTTTGAGGAGGATCCAAGAGTATTGGGCAGGAACTACAGAGAAAGGTCTTGTATCCTCTATCCTTCCAGACTCACCCTTGGGCTGTATTCTTAAAATTGGTCTAAATTTGATTCTGATCAAATAATTCTTTAATATTCTCCCATTTGACTTTTGAGAAAAGTAAAAGTAATAAACTGTTAAGTAACCAGGCAATCTCCAGGAAGAAACATTACAATATAACCTGCTGTGGAGAAGACTGTTGCAGAATTCAGCAGCAGTGCTTTAGCTGAGTCTATTACACAGTGCTCAGACTAGAGGAGGAGCTGACTGTGGAAAGCTAAGGAGTTTACAAGAATGCGTTTCTGCTTGTGGCCTTGTCCTTTTCTCCATAGGGTGGGATGACAGCTCCTTGGGGGTGGAGATTATTCAAGATGGATGAAGACATCAAATTATTGCCATAATTTTGGGTTGGAGAAATTTTTTTTCATTTCACCTCCAGCTATGAGAATTGACTTTTCAAGACAGTCAAATGGTCTGTCATCCTGGTTTCAGTTCTTCAGTGATCTCTTGGGAGTGGGGTTCCTTAAACATCCCTAGAGTGGGGCTGGGATTTATCTCAGTGGCCCCAGCACCTGACTCTCAAGCACAAGGTCCTGAGTTCCATCCCCGGTACCCCCCAAAAAATCCCTGAAGGGGAAAAAATAAGAACCAAGATAGATTATGTAAAGGTACAAGTTTCCAATGATTAATGTCATTATATGTCTAAAATATACCAATAAAATTAATTTTTAAAAAATCCTGGAAATCCCATTTCAGTAAAAGAGCAAAGAGCTAGGTCTCAGTTACTGATGAAGGATTTCCAGTAGGAAAGGACAAAGTGGGTTGGATTTTCAGTTTCATGGCTTCTGAATCTATTACAAAGTCTATGGCCATACCACCCTGAACACGCCCGATCTCATCTGAATCTATTACAAAGACAGGATGCATTCAGGAAACTTGAATTAATTGTTGTCCTTACCTCGGTGAGACAGAAAATTATCAAAATCATCAGTACTGCTGTCACAGATATTGCCAAGATGACCTTGTTGTTGTAGCTATGTCCTGTATCTTCTTTTGTGAAATTAAAAATATATATATATTTTTGTTAAAAAGGGAAAAGAAGAATGAAAGCTGACTATTCAAAATCCCATTCTTCTGAGTAGATAGTTTGCAGGTTCTTAAAAACATATCAAGTGGAACAGGTTACAAATTTTATCATGCATGTTCTTTTGTTTATCTTGTGCATCAGGTCAGCTTTTTTCTCCGAAGGAGTGGGCTGGGCATCACTGTCCTGGCCAAAGTTATGTGGCCAAGTCAAGATATGTCTTCCTTCTTGGGTGCTTCATGGCAGACCCTCATGTTGGGTAGTTGTCCTCACCTCGCTTGACTCTTGCTCCTCCTCCTCTTCTGTGCTCTGCTGTTCTCTCATTGATATAGTTCTCATGGTTCTTATTTTTCCAGTGGTCTGCATCCACTGGACCTTGGATACCTTGACTTCTTGCTGCTCCCTGAGAAGCTGCATCAGGAGGCCCATTTTGGAGATGAGCTTGGCAAAGGCCAGTTGCACATGGGCCTCAGAGCAGTCCGTTTTTAAACTCCTGATGATGTGGGAAATCAGCCTTCTTATTCATTGTTGGGGAAGAATGGCTGGAGTTGCTGGTTTAGGTAAATTTCAAACTGATCACCAGGGAATGACAGCAGTGGGGAGGTGGAGTCTTTGAAGGGTGAGTCAGTGCCTATGTTGGGGTGCCCCAGTGTGCCTCCCTGTTCTAGTTCGCAGCTGGTATTGGGTTGAATGCAGTCACAGCAGAGTCTGCAACAGAGGGATTCTTGTGGTTTATTTCTTCTTGTACACTAGTGTTTACTGCAAAACCCCATCCTTCAAAAGTATCTGCTGTGGTATGGTTTTCTGGAGTACTTTCTACTGAAGGTTCTGAATGAGCATGTAATTCTAAGACAAGATTCTCCTGAAAAAAGTCTCCTGAAGATGGGACTGTTGAGAAGGCGAACTGATGAGACTTCTTGCTACCAAGAACAGAGGGCTTCTTGCAAGCATTAGTCTACTGCATGTATTTTCCTTTCTCAACTTTTTGCTCAGTTTGGCCTTGGGTGTTCCATGGACCATAAGAGAATGAGTTTTATGAAAGCAATGATTTTGCAGGGGAATGTAACATTGGTTTAGTACATTGTATAGTTTTGGCCCTAGCATATCCATCTTCCAACATCGTACACTAGAGACAAAGTAATTTGCTCTGTTTCTCACCTCAGGCAGGGCTTTGGCAGGGATGGAGGAGGGAGATCTGCCCAATGAGTTATGTTTCAGGGAGAAGAGACTGCTTTTTGCCTTCTATTTCTTTGTGAACCATGGCTGTATGTGGGAGCAGTTTCCCATCAACTTTTGGCCTCCGTACCTCGGATGGTGCTCCGGCCCCTTGGGATGGGTGTCTTGGGGCTTCTTTCTTAGACGATATCCTCCAAGAATGGCTGGGCACTCTGCTTTGCCTTGACTTTCTATTTTCTCACTTCCTTAAAGAAATTTTTTGAGCCCCCTTTGGCCCCTTGCGGACCTTCTTTACCGTGTGAACCTTTTTTCTTCCAAGCTGAACATCTGCCAGGCTCTTTTTCTTTGCTTGGTCATTTTCCAATCTCTTTGGAAAGATTTGTCATTTAAATTAGGGATGTGAAAGGCTAGAATGCATAAGGATGGCAGTTTTTCTTTTTCACGTTTTTAATTGTTTTCCTGATTTTCTGCCTCCAAAACTTTTCCAAAGGATGCAGTTTCTTCGGTTTCATTTGTAAATCAAACTATAGGATTCAGGTTGAAAAGCTACATTCTTTGTATGAACTAAACTCTTCTCCGTCAAACTGGTTTTCCTTATGTCCTGCTCCTTCTACCTGTCATTCTCATCTTCATCGAGTTCAGGAACTATGAATTCAGGTTTGATTTTGCGCTTCTCTGTCCACCCTACCCCCCGATGCTTCGCTCAATCACTCAGTCACGTAGTGCTCACAGGATTCTCTCTCCACGCTCATCACCACTCTCACTCTAACCCAGATCTACTACAGCTTTCTAGGTGGTCTCCGAATCCGGCTGTCCCCTCTAGATCACTCTACACATGGATTCTAACATCGTCCTCCTGTGTAACCATTTAGCTCTCCTGCTTGAAAACTTGCACTGGCTCTCTGTGTCTGTCTCTCTCTCTTTTTGAGACAGGGTCTCACTATGTAGTTGAGACGGACCTGGAACTTACTAGGTAGCCCAGGCTGGTCTCAAACTCACAGCAATCCTCCTGCCTCAGCCTCCCGAGTGCTGGGATTACAGACGTGCGTCACCACGCCCGGCCTCTCTCTCTCTCTTTTTTTTTAATTCAACTGCACCATGGCTTCTCACCTAGGTTGACTATGCCTATAGAAATTGTTAATTGTGGGTTGAAGGGAGGGCAGAGTTAAGGGGAAAAAATGAGAATCAAGACTTGTCATGTAGAGGTGCAAGATCTCAACAATGAATGTAACTGTACTGTATCCGTAAAATGTACCAATAAACTCAATTAAAGCTGAAAAAAAAAGAAATTGTTAATTGAAGTATATGTTCCTCAAACTTAAAAAAAAAAACATCTGTGTGATGCTAGAACCTGAGCTGAGTGCTGACCTCATGGTGCCAGATTTGCCATTGCACGTGGTTCTGTAGGTTGAGCTACAGCCTCCATAGATGGTTCCAGAGGCTGAGATGGGGTCTCCTGCAAAGTCGGGGAAAGTTGGACCCCTGAAATAGGTAGAAAAGTTCTGGAATGTTCCAGGTTCAAAGGCTGAATCATTGCAGGAGTCAGGTTGGGCTGCTGAGCCTGCCCCAGGTCTCGATGTGCAAGTGTCACCTCAGGGTGACACTATCAGAGGAGAAACGACAGCCTCTTGTGGGCCCACAGAATGGACAGGCTCTGTGGTGAGCTCAGGACTTACAGTAAGGCTCGTATGCAGTAGTGGTGCCATGACACTAGGTGATGCTGGAGGCTGAGCTGATTCTTGATCTGTGTCCTAATTTGTCACCTTGTTAGGGAAAACTTTTATAAATAGCAAAAACCCATAAAGTGTTACAATGTAAAATGGCTTCTGCTGTCTCTAACAGCAGTTTGTTTCACTCAGAACTAATAGGCACCAAAGGCACTAATTGCTGAATGAGGCATTCGGTCTGACCCTGAGATAACAGGGCACAGCAAGGTCTTGGGCTCCAAAGAGACTGGAGCCACGTGATCGTGAGAATGTCTGGATGAAAGAACCCATTGCTAGCATTTGCTCCCCTGACCCTGAATATCCCCCTTCCTGTGGACTACAATAGATACCTAGGCAAATCTTAAAGGTAAACTCCCCAACTGCAAAGAACTGTTACAACTGGGTTGAAAAGATTAACTATTCTGTGACTGTGATTTGAACTATGAGAATGAAATGTAATTACCCAAATGAAGCCAAGGCTGTAAAACCCTATAAAAGGAGGAGTTGTAACCCAGTGCATCATCGATCCAGGCACAGCATATGTGCGATCCACCCTTATTGATGAGTAAATTTGTTATTTTACTTCCATTCTGCTGCGTCTCTGTGTCACTTACTGATTCCTTACGTAACAAGCTCATACAACAGTAGGTCTTGAGCCTGTGAGAGGCTGGAGGCAACACTGGATACAATTTCCTGGGGAACTCCTGCTGAGTTGCAGCAGAATCTAACTCTCTTGGGGCATCTGGAATCTGAGCTACAACATCTCATTCAGCTGGTGGAGATTCAGATTTTTCAAGGAATTCTGCAGGCAGGGTAATGGGACCAGTCCAGATTGGGGAAAGCTCCACTTGTTCATAGTAACTGTGGACTGAGCAGGGTCTTCCTGCTGGGTAGCAGAAGGTTCTGCCTTCACAGTAGGCTTTGCAGTTACAGTAAGCTCCAGCTCCAAATGTGTAACTGTGGACTCAGACAACATTAAATGCTGATTTGAGAGTATTGTTTCCATATTTACAGGTGAAAATGGCATGCTATCAGCTATCAGGGTGGAAAGAACTACCCTCCTTTCAAGGGCCTTCTGATGGCTCAAAAAAGGTTCAGCTTTCTCAGGGGGCTGTGAGAGTTGACATGAGGCTTCTCCCTGAGGTATAGGTTGCTGGATTTGGGGAATCTCTGGATTCTGAATTTGGGCCTCTGGCTGAAATTGTGAGGATTTCTTGTGCTTTCAGGGCTGCGCAGGCTCCTCTGGGTTCTCCTGATACCCCAGATGAAGGCTGTCGTGGTCAGCTGTATCCATACTTGGGTCTATGTTATAATCCTGCAAGATTTCTTTCTGCCGGTTAGCTTTTGCTGATTGATAAAGACTTCCAGAGACCTCCTCAGCAAGTTGCCAATGCCGAGCTGGATCCTTCTTCAGGTTCAGGGGGGAAACAAACTGTGGTGCCATCCAATTCTTACTCAGTGGAGGTGGAACAAGTAAAAGTGACTGGTGGCCTGTAGCCTGCTCTAGAGCAGAAATCTGTCTTCCTTTTGAGTGGAGGAGGCAAAGCTCCAGCTTGGTTCTGATCCCCACCTGAAACTGCCTCTGAGAGCCTCTCTTGCCCGGCAAGCTGGTCCTGCAGACCTGATGTGGAGCAGTGAACTCATCTGGCCACAGCTCTCCCATCGACTCTTTATGTGGAAGCAACATGTCTGTAGGCACAGAGGACCCGAGGTACTCGAACCCCCCAGCTCTGTGGGGGCACTAAGGGCATGGAGTGATTCCTTTTGGAGATTAGACTTGTAGGGAAAAAAAATACAAAATTTGGGCCCCAGGGGCTCCGAGTTCAGGAGGACTGGTTATTGGGCCCCCTCCGGAATGCAGCCATTAAATCCAGTAACCACACCTGTGGCCACACAAGGAGCCGTGACCCAGAAGGGAAGTATAAATATAACGATAGAAGGCTTGGTCACCAGGACCTAGGCAGGTAATGTTCCAACCAAACGTTCTGGAATCTTTCTCATAGCCACTAGCTGCAAGTGCTTGATAACCTTGTACTTTCCACCCTGCCCCACCATTTTTGACATCAATGTTTAAGAAACCTTTATGAGGTTCTGGCCCACATGGGCTGAACTGGTCCGAGGGAGCCTTTTGTTACAGGACCAGGGCCAACTCCTTGCCCAGCAGAGGTGATAGCGGCTTCCTCCAGGGCCATCTCCCTGTATGGCAGCAGGATAGGCACCTCAGACCTACAAAATCTAAGCATGCAAAGCCCTTTGGGTGGGGCCTGGCAGAGCTTCCCACGAAAGTCATAGGGCTGGGCCTTGGGATACTCAGAAGTAGTAACCCAGTCTGGCAGCCTGAGCTCTTCCTGCTCCAAGCTACAACCTTACAAAAATTCTCCCTCCTCCTGGGTATATAGCTTCCAAGAAAAGCAACCGACGTACAAAATGAGGACCAGTTAGGGTGGCACACAGGAGAATACACACTATGATGATTTATTCCACATTGTTGTCATTTGTTCTCAACTCTCAGTATCAGGTTCCATGTTGGAGAACTCATTCCCCTCTGTTAGGCTGGGGCTGCGTATACTCCGTGATGATGCCACAATTTCTGCAGAAGGGTTTTGCAGTTCGGCAACTGCAGCTAAGAGCAAGGGTTTGAATCCGAGTAGCCCGTTCTTCACATCAGTAGGACAGAACTCTCCCCATCCCACCATGGCTCAGCAGTCATTCATCTAGCTGTGACAAGGCCACGTTTCACAGCAAACATGGATCAGACATTTAGCTTGTTAAAGTCGGGAGGCTGAGCTGAGAGCCCTTGCTGGACTGGTGAGAGTGTGACATCCTCAGCAGATTTTGACGACAGAGCTGAGATCTCCTGCTGGCTTAGAGAATGTTCTGCAGGAAGCTCTTCAGGCTGCAATGGGACCCCTCAATCCACTGGAGAGTGGTCATCAATTACATTAGGGTATTGTCACTGAGTTGTAACCCTTCTCCCAACTTCCCAAGGTTCAAAGGGGTCAGGGGACACAGAAGACAAAGCTGGGGCCACTTGCTGGGCCAAAGAACAAACTCCCTGGTAGGATCTGGAACTATAGTAAGTTAAAACGCTGACTTGATTTCTGAGCTGAAGGTCAAAGTGTCACTATATTACACCATGGCCTTCTAACCGTACTCTATAGAGGGGACTCTAGAGCTTGATCCTTTTCAGGAATCAGAAATTTCACTTCACCAGAAGGTTTTGTATAATGAGATGTGGCTTCAGGTTCCCTCTCATAGGCTCAGAAAATGGAACTGGTTGCTGCTGCTGACTGGAGGAAAGAGCAACTTCCACAGGTGGGTGTGGATGCAGAGATGGGGTCTCCTGGTCAGATGAAGCTTCTACCTCTGCATAATCTGCAGGGTGAGTTGGGGCTTCCAGTCGGGTTTGGAAAGGCATAACCTCCCTAAGAGATTCAGTAGACTGAACTATCTTTTCCTGCTGGCTGGTACAAGTTTCAGCCTCTATAAAAGGGCCTAGAGCAGTGGTGGGGAACCTATGGCATGGGCACCACAGCAGGTTGTTTTCATCATGGAGAGCTCTGAATTTAAAAGGTTAACCATCATTGACCTAGAGGCTGAGTGGGGATCTCCTACTAGTACAGAGAAGATTTAATCTTCTCTTGGGCTCTGCGGTTATGTCAGGCTGAACTTTAACAGGGTCTAGTTAAGTTGTCCAGACTGGGCCCAAACTTGAAATGTTCCTGCCTCAGCCTTCTGAGTAGCTGGGCTCCCAGGCTTATGCCATTGTGCCTGGCTGAGATTGGATTTTTTTGTTCATCATTGTACCCTCAACACTTGGCACAGTGTCTGACAATAGAGTAAATATGTGTGAAATGAATGTCTTATAAGATGTGCATAAAATTTTTGGAAATGCTGAGTAAAACTATTCAAAAATATGTGCATGTCAGTATTATATCAGCAGAAAAAGACTACAAGGGATTGTAGAAAAACTGCTTTGAATTGACCTATAGGAGGGTGAGGGGATATACAGGAAGGAAAGGGGATGCGAAAGAATCAAGATGTGTTTTAAGTACCTGTACCACCTCCCTTCAGTGATGTAATCCTTCTGTACTGCAAACATGTAATAATAAAAGATGAAAAAACTATAAGTAAAAATAGTATTACATATATTTTAATCTTTTATTTTAGCCCAAATAGTAAATGTTGATATTTCTCGAAGTTTTGGTGGGCTCTTTATTGTTTGTTTGTTTGTTTGTTTGTTTGTTGAGACAGGGTCTCACTAACTGCCTAGGTGGGATCAAACTGGCAATTTTCCTGCTTCAGGCTTTCAAGTGCTGGGATTACAGATGTGCACCACCACATCCAGCTATGGAAACTTAAATTTTATAATACATTGATGACATAAAATGCACTCGCTTATAGTATAGACTTAAATGGTTTTTAGTAATTCGGAGAGTTGCATGACTTCTCACCATGAATTGGGGGCATTTCCATCACTCCCAAGAGAAACACTAAATGTTAGTGTTGTCGGGCTGGAGGAGAGAATTGGAAGGGACTGCAGCCGGTAGTTTATTTTCGGTCTCTATTGCTCTGAACATTTCACGTGGATGGACTCATAACGCAGAGGCTCTAGGTTAGGACAGGCAGGTCTGCCTGGGGAGAAAGGGCCTTTGCATAAAAGCCAGCTGGGAGACAGATGGAGCTGCATGATGTGGCCACATCTCTGTGACCACAGTTCCTTTCAAGCAGTTTTCTGGATTGGTGAGCAGCCATGGGAGGAAAGGGAAATCCTAACTTCTCTCAAGAAGCTGCCTCAGGACACTACTGAGGGACTTTTGAGGTCCCAAAACGTACCTGACCATTGGCCTTGCCAAGGGAACTGACAGTCCACAGAGTGCCCAAGATAGCCCAGGACCTAGTACAGGGCAAGGGGGTCTTCAAGAAACAGGGCCTGAGGGGGCTTTAGTGTACTGGTCACCAACAACTGTGTTTGAAAAGTCCTGGAAAATGGTCAATGTTCAAAGGTAAATGTAACCAGTATACTCCCATTATTGAAACAATAAACCAGTGAACACCTAGGAATACCTGCTTTGGACCAAGTTGATGCCTTGGCCACTGGCCAAAGGGCAGAGGGCTAAAGGTCTGAATGGAAGTTCTCAGTCTGCAGGTACCTACTTTAAATCCAATTTAAATTCCAATTTTATAAGCAACAAGATGTAGAGAGGGCAGAGTCTCCTCAGAGGCTGCTTTGGCTGTAACTTTTTCTCCACACGAGGCCTCTTTCTGGAGAGCACTGCGCATTCCTGTCCCAGTGAGAGTCTCATACAATGGCAGTCCTCTGCACCCCACTTCCTTCCCTGCCAGCCTGCTGGGATGGCGGCTAGAGGCCCAGTCTATTCTCTACCACTCAGGTAGCGGATCCTGAGGAGATGCAATGACACCTGCGGGGACAGATGGCAACCTGATGAGGTCTGTTCTCATCCTACAGCCACAGACTCCGGCAGTCACCAGGCAGTGAGCCCATCTCAACTGAAAGGCCTTCTGAGCACACAAAATAAAACCTGAGAGTGTATTTTAAGGAAGGAACCAGGAAGGAAAGAGTCAAGAGGCTCAGTCCTGGGAGACAGGAGCCTGGATGCGTGGGGTGTGGGGAGCACCTTTCACACCACTCAACTGCATGGAATACCAGTGCCACGGGATGGGATCGGGGTAGAGGGCAATGACTTGACTGAGGGCAGCTTCAGCTGAAGGTGCAAGAGCCAGTGGGGACCAGGAAGCAGGAGCTCCCAAGTCCCATTCAAGGCCCGGCCCTTCACCAACTCGACTCCTGCCGCGGTCCAGGGTCGGCCTGCTCTATGAACTTGGGGTTCTCAAGACCTCCCTGAGACCAGATTCATGCTCTAGCTCTAATGACAGGAAAAGGAATATGTGCTGTGGTTAAACAGAGTCACTCCTGGTAATGTGTCTGATCCTATAGTTGGATTCTTTGTAGAATACTCGTGTGTAGCCCAGCAGGCAAAATCCAGCTTCTCTGACTCCAAGACCCTAGGTTGCAAACACTAATGTACAGTTCTAGCAGTGTAAGCCTCTCCCTCAGGCCTACCTAGACAGCACTCAAGCTCCAGAGTCACCCTTTCCTCAGACAGATACAAGGCCAGGATTCTAGTTCTTTTTTTTTTGTACCGGGGATTGAACTCGGGTCCTTGTGCTTGCAAGGCAGGCCACCGAACCGCTGAGCTAAATCCCCGGCCCAGGATTCTAGTTCTTACACCTCAACTATCTAAATATCAGCCTGGGTCTGTTAAGATCTCTACTAATGAGCTGAGGTAACGGTATTCATTAGGAGGAGCTATCGGTAAGTAGGTGTTCTGGCCAGGAATAACAGTCTGCCAAAAACAAACAAAAATAAACTAAACTGAAGGTAAGGGAGGTCAGAGTAGGGACCTGAGAAGAGACAAGTAATTGTCACCACTAAGTGTCAGGAAAGCCACAAGGTAAATAAAATAGCCAATAAAATTACAGACCACTCAGAAGAATCTAGAACAGTCATGTACTCAACAATTCACCAAAAACAGGATCAGAACTTGGGGATGAGCCACAATTCAGGACACCTTCATTTTTTTCTTATAGGAAGTCAAAAAAGTACCCTACCTATTCAAGTCTATGCCACAGTGCTTCCGGGAGGCAGAAATGTGACCACCAGTGATATAACTGGCTCGTGGAACCTGACCAAGGTACTGGATCCCCTGATCCTTGGTCAGTCAATGTTCCATTATCCACCTAGTGACTCAGACCCCAAGTCTGCCATGCTATGGGACGGACTGCTATCACTTCCTGATCTTGAATATTCTTCATCAACACCACGAACCAAAGAGAAAATAGGTGTGGCTCCAAGGAAAGAATATTGAGGAGAACTTGGGCAACACTCTGAAGGGGCTCTTCAACATTACTGCAGGAAAGTGACCCCTGCCACTTAAGAATTCCCAAGCCACACAAGTCTAACTCCACCTCTAGTTATGGATTCCTCAATCTAGACATTCCAAAATTTTAAAAAAGTGAGCTTCCTCATCTAATTCTCCAGTCTTATTTAAATCCTAGAAGAATCTGGAGAAAGATGGTCATCCCTATTATATAGAAGAGAAAACTCAGGCTCTATGGATACAGGACTCAGGTAAGAGAATTCGCTGGTTCCCATATTCCTTTTACCAGATGAAACTGTCTCGGGTCTTAGGCTTGAAACGTTTCAAGAAAACTATCACCCTCTGCCATTTTAGAAGTACTCAGCCGATCCATTTTACTGAATTGGCCTGATACAGGACACAGTCTTCCCAGTCAGATTTATAACCCAACCAGCTGATCCCAGGACCTTCCCATGATAACCAAGTTTCAGAGTTGTCCTTTCTTAAATGTTCCAACACACGGGAATGAATTCTTCTGGATGTTTTTCTTCATTACACTGTTTCTCCTTCTGTATGCAGAATGTCTAATTTCCCTCCCCTCAGGGAAAGAAAGAAAGAAAAATGGTTTGGAGCAGGCTTACATTCATTTCAGAGAGGAATAACATGGCTTCACCTGCTCTCAAAATATTCAAAGCAACAGTAAACAGCTTCTGCTTCTCTTTAGAGATGTCTCCGCTACTACTGCAGCCTCTCCTCTACTATCCGAAACACATACCTGGCTGGTTGGAAAAATAGATTTGCAATTATGCTGTTCAGCTGCTATGCCAGTTGATGAGTCATTTCAGTCAGAAAAAAAATGACAAAGCCATCTTCTGATTCAGAAAGGCAGGTGGTGTTTCTGGCCTGTTAGTGCTGAATGAGTAAACAGGATCTTTTTCAAGTCGAAGAAAGTTGGGTGTCTAGACAAATGTCATGAATTGGGGAGGGTGCCGAGAGTGGGAGATGAGGCCTTTTACACAGCTTTAAATTAAATGGGCTGGAGGGTGAGAAATTTCTAGTATGTGGTTCCCAGGCAGAGAGCTAGCTACTGGATGAACATGGAACTGTGAAGTGGGTGAACACCAGTTATCTTTTTTTTTGCACCCTCCCTCCTGGCATCCAGTAACACCCATCTCTCCATGTTCTTCCCTGTGTGCTGTAGGATTCTAACAATGAGCAGATGAAAAGAATAACTGTCTGACTCACTCACCATTACTTTTTAAATATATAAACAGCACATGGCATATAGTACTCAAAAAATGTTGAATAATTTGATGAGTGAAATAAAAATAAGGCACAGTGAAGTTATGTACATTTCACAGACTGTGTGAAGTGGGGACACACCACTGTGAAGCAATGGGACTATTGTGCAATTCCTGCCATCAAACCAAGCTGTCAGTACTGCTGACATCCATTCAGATGGTTGCACTGTAATGGGAGAGCCCATGAAAGGAATTGCATTAATGGAATTTCGTTCAGTTTTCAAAGGACAAAGACCACAATGGCAAAGGCAGTGGGTCTTCTCAGGGCTCTTGAAATTGCTGTCGTGCCCAGGGATGTGTCTCAGTGGTAGAGTTCTTTTCTAGCATGTGATAGAACCTGGCCTTTGTCTCCTACACCGAAGGAAAACATTGAAATTAAAAGAAAAAATACCATGAAGTAGCTGACCCTTTTGAAGCCAGGTCACCAGAATTTGGAGAAAATGTGCATCGACAAGTCTCTAATGTTCAGCACGGAACCCAGGTGTCTGAGGAACATGCCTTCATCTCAGCTGCTGTGAATACTTTGATTTCCTGTGCTCATGGAACCTGAATGGCTACAACTCAATGACCCAGCACTAACAAAAAGAAGCCATTCAACTGGCTCTGCTCCCTCTAGGCCCCACTCACCAGTATGCTTCACAACATGTGACATGCCTCTGACACTCATTGTATGTTGGGCACTAAGACTGATCTGCAGTCAGCTCGGGCAGAGAGGAGCACAGAAAGAGGATCCTTCACAGGTGCCAGGACAAGTCATAGGAGTATGCTTCTGTGATCACAGCCAACGCCCTTCAGTGACTTCAGCAAAGTCATCATCTAAGGAACTCCATAACCCAGGCCCAGTGCCACTTGTAATCCCAGTACTTGAGGAGGTCATGGTAGGAGGATCATAAGTTTGAACCCTGCCTAAACAACATAGTGGCATAGGGAGAACTTGTCTCAAAAGTAAAAATAAAAAATGGCCTGGAGATATTCATTAGTGCAGAGGCCTTGGGTTCAATACCTAGCACCACAAAACCAAAGACAGTTTCATGCTCTTTTGTAAACATGCATTCCTTTTTTGACTCATGTAAGGGCTTAAGCAGGAAAAGTGTCAACTAGACATACCTAGAAAGGATATGTTCATCAGTCCTGAGTTTTTCAGGAAGCCCCGGCCTTCAGCCTTCGGGGTGCGAGTCTGAGGCAGGGCTGTCGGAGAGTGGAGTAGGGGAAGCTCCTGTGGCTGATGTTTAGGGAGTTTGGAATGATAAGAAGCACTGCCCAGTGGGAGAAGGTGAGTGAGGAAGAGAGACCCCTGCTGGCTCCACAGGCCATAGAGATGTACAGTAGGCAACTGGATTGTCAGTGTGATGTAGATCGGAGGGTCTCAGGCATGCAGAGGTGGGAGAGTCACTCTTCACTTCGACTCAGTAGTTGGGCAGGCTCAGCCTTGAACTCTACTTTGCCTGTGACCTCAGGTAAATGACCTCATTCCTTGTTTATCTATCTGTAAACCGAGGGATAATAGTAGGACCTTCCTCAAAGGGCGGAAGGGATTAAATGAGAGCCTGTAAAATCACTGGCTCCTAGTAAATTTACCCAGGCCGAGGAGGTAAGAGTTGTGGATGGTGGATAAGGCCAGGACAGAAGGAGGAAGGGTGGGATGCAGTCAAGAGGGCTTGGCATGGAGCAAGGGGGAGTTTACAGTACCTGAGAGCAAAGCAGGTACAGCAAGTGAGATGGGGAGGTACCTCAGTGGTTGAACATTTGCCTAATGCACAAGAGGCCCTAGGTCGCACTGCTCAGCACTGCAAAAACAAGAAAAGACTACTCAAATTTTATCCATAATTTATCCCTGTGATCAAGACTAAGAATCAGAAGGACCAGGCTTAGCTGGGTGTGGTGGTGAAAACATGTAGTCCCAGCGCTCAGGAGGCAGGAGGATTGCCACAAGTTCAAGGCTAGTCTGGGCTATGTAGTGAGTTCAGGGCCTGAACTGTGTAGTGAGACTGTCTCAAAAATAAATAAATAAATTAGATTTCATTTGGCAAGTCAATGTTTATTAAGGATCACATTTGACTGATGGGAAACAATCCTTGGCTTTAAAAAAATGCAACAACATACTGGAGATTGAACTTAAGGCTTTCACGCAGAGCTATGTCCTAGCCCTTTAAAAAAAGCTTTTAATTGTTTGAAACAGTTTTTTTTAAATTTTTGGTACCAGGGATTGAACTCAGGACCTTGTGCTTGCAAGGCCTGTGTGGCACCACTGAGGGATTTCCCAATCTAAAACAGGGTCTTGCTAAGTCACTGAACTCATATTTCCTATCCTCCTGTTTTAGCCTCCTACAGTACTGGGATTACAGGCATAATGTAACTAATAACATAATTAACAAAAACCCATGCAACATGTTTTAGTGTATTTTATAGTACACTAAAATTCTGAATTGTTAATCATTGTGATTGACTGTTTACTCTGTTATAAAAACTATGTAGGCACCTGTTGACATATCCAGAAGATTTTATTGCAATGCATTTTGATGCAACAGGAGGTAAAAATTTATAAAGTGGAAAAATAATGTGAATTCTGATAACAGACTTAAGAAAGCTGATGTCTCTTATTGCTGGGCATGGTGGCATATGCTTGTAATCTCAGCCCTTGGGAGGCTGAAGCAAGAGGACTGCTGGGAGTTCAAGGCCAGCCAGAACTACATAGTGAGACCCTGTCTCAGAAAACAACAACAAACAAAAACAAAAAGCAGACACCTTTTTAAGAAACTCCTTGGAAAGAAAAAAAATCTGGAAACCTCCAAACCAATACTTTTGATAGAACATATTACACAGAACACAGAAAAAGGCCAGTATATTCTACAGCCATGTTCAAGGAATGACCCTGTCGACACTAAAGGGCAAGGACAATGGGGTCTAAAAAAATCAAACACGCAAATACCAGCCCATCTTCAAACAGACTCAAGTGCAGCAGGCCATCCAACACTAAACCTCTTAACAAATCCTGCAGATTGCTGCCCGGGCAGAGACAGACACATTTTAGTGCATATGATACTAGAGCCATGAACATACACAGTGTAATGGCAACTGCCCAGAGTTAGCTTGGAAAATCTGCTTGCTTGCTTGCTTGCTTGCTTCTTTTTGTGGAACCAGGGATCTAACTCAGGACCTTGTGCTTGCAAGGCAGATGATTTGCCACTGAGCTAAATCCCCGACCCGAAATTCTGCTTTCTGTACACATGATTTAAGTTCTAATCATCAATCTTTCTGTGAACACAAAACATTTCCTCCATGTGAACTTCCACTTCTCTGCATCAGACAGTCGAGCCAGATTATTGTCACCTCTGCCCTTTCCCTCAGTGTAACTGCTTCCTGTTTGGGTTTGGATTTTTGCAATGGAAAAAGAAACTCCTTGTCTAGGTCTAGTCTCAGTGGCAATGCACAGAGTCCCCTTTCATTTCTAGTAGGTCTCATCGGTCTGCCACATACACACACCCCTAAGAAGAGGAAACTCAGCAACCTGAGCTCAGCCGGAAGCAGTGTCAAGTGCCCGCCCACCCTGCTGTGCCTAGCTTACATTGGTGGTGAAGGTGCAAGACAAGAGGTCCTCCTGCTGTCTCTCCTGCTGCTCTCTGGCAGGATGCTGATGCTGGAAGTTTCTGAGAGCAGTCTACGGGTGCTGGGCAGCATACTTTGGTGCACATGACAGCAACTGATAGAGATCAAATTCCAGGAACCTAGGGAGACACAATTTGAGACAACCAGGCTGTGTATTCAGGACAGGAAATTATTTCTTACTTCTCCCCACACTGCCCACATCATTCCCCTAAATCTGATGTGGATCAGAGAGGTTGAAAGTAAAGAAGTAGCTTGTGGTTAAAGTGGGTGCTAGCATGTAAGATTCTAGCCATCGCCTCTGATTCTAGATGCATGATGGAATGGGACAGGAAGCAGATTTGATAACCCCCTTCCTACCACCTATGAATTATATCCCTCTCCTAGAGGGGCTGGGAGGATAGCTCAGTAGCACACCACTTGCCTAGCACGCCTGAGGTCCTGCATTGGATCCATAGCACTGCAGTGCCACCCCCATTATAATAAATTAAATATCATGGACCATTTTGCAAGTAAGTATGAAGCAAGTAAACAGGAAATACATGATTACCTTGATGAAGAATCCTACTTTTTTTTTTGGTACCAGGGATCAAACTCGGGTCCTTGTGCTGGCGAGGCAGACACCAGAGCCACTGAGCTAAATCCCCAGCCCTAAGAATCCTACTTTAAAAAATAAACAGTATAAAACTGTTACAAAAATTCATTCATTTCATACTAGGAGGTTTACCTTCAAGGAAGATACACTTCACATTGTCTATAACAAGGGTCAGCTAGTTCTGGCTGCCACTGATTGTTGCGAATAAAGTTTTATTGCAGCCCAGCCAGGCTTATTCATTTATGCATTGTCTGCTTTTGTGCCACAGTGAATGAATTAAACATTTGTGGCAGAGATCTTATGGCTTGTAAAGGCTAAAATATATACAGTACTACCTAGCCTTTACAGAACAGGTATGCTCCACCACTCCTGGCTCAGGACATCATTTGAAAAAGGATCTGGGAAAACTGGGAAGGGTTTTGGTATTGAGACCATCATGCGACGGAAGCGGAACTGAGACCATGGCCCAAATCCTTGCTCTACTGAGCATAAAGGAAGAGTGTTTATGCAGCGATCCTAGAGGACAGAATTCTAAGGGAAGGATAACCCCTTGACAAGCCCCACTTTCTCCATATAGGCCGCTTCTGCCGCCTAGCGGTCACCAGACACATCACAAGCAGGTGTCCCAATTTTAACAGGCACTGCAAGTTGGAAAAACTTAAGGTTTTTCTTTTAGAGATAAGCAATTTCTCCAAACCCCCTCCTGCTGAGCATGTGGCAACACCCCCTCTTCTCTTCCTCCCCAAAGACGTGTGAGAATATGCTGATGCAAGCCCCAGGTGGGCCAGGAGGTTGGTTTTTTTTCCACAAGAAAGAAGAGGTTGAGCTGAAAACGGCCAGGAAGTGATAAAGCAAGTGTAGTGTAAAGATCTGCATTATCTGTCCTCTGCTCCTTACTAGAAAAGGCGCTTGCTCATCTGTAAAGGTGACATGGGATTTGAAGCAATTAAACCCCATTAAACCTCTCCTTTCTATATTCCTTATAAAGCAACTTTACAGTTCCTAGTTTTGAATAAATGTTTTTTTTTTTTCCTTTTTACCCAAATATATGGCTTCCTTTGATTTGGTCACATGGACAAGAGATGAACTTAAGCATATGAGCCTAAATGGCTGGAAACAGTTTTGGTGACCATGGCAAGACTGAAGATGGGAAACTGGGAGCAGGTTTCCCAATTTCTCAGTCCACCTGCTCCTGGGGTTCTCAACCATGTGACCCCTAAATGGCTGGTAACAGTTTTGGTGACCACGGCAAGACTGAAGATGGGAAACTGGGAGCAGGTTTCTGAATTACCCAGTCCACCTGCTCCTGGGGTTCTCAACCATGCCTGACCCATAACTCCCTTTCCACAAAATATATCTTGTGTAAGTACAGTAATTTTTAATTTTGTTTTTTGAGACAGCATCTTACTATGCAGTTGAAGAACTTGCTACGTAGCCTTGAACTCACTATGTAACCCATGCTGGCCTGGAACTCACAGTGATCCTCCTGCCTCAGCCTCTTGAGTGCTGGGATTACAGGCCTGTAACATCACGCCCCCCCACAACTCCTTAAATGTTATACGCACTCTTTCAGATGTTGATATACAATCAACTGTGTATATTCACCGAATATAATTTGAGAATTTCTACATATGTATACACCTGAAATCACTATCACAATGAAGATAGTGAACATATTCATCTCTCCCCCACGACAAAGTTTTCTTGTGCCTCCGGTAACCCCTCCTCGTGCTCTTTCCTACTTCTCCATTCCCAAGGGACTACTGATTGGGTTTCTGTCATCATAGATTGGTTTATACATTCTCATTTTCTACACATGTAACCGTACAGTATTGTGTTAGCTTTCTGTTATTATAATAAGGACTAGAGAGAATTCACTTACAAAGAGAAAGGCTTATTTTAGATCACAGTTTTGGAGGTTCAGTCCATGGTTGATTGTTCCCATTGCTTTTGGGCCTGTTGTGAGGCATCACATCCTGGCAGCAGGATGGGGTGGATTTGGCTGAAAAGAAGATGAATTTCATGGAATAGTTTTAATAATCGATGAATTACATATATCTTTATTTTATTCCTTATAACCCTAACTCCTCCCGATAGGGCCATCTCATCAATGGAGCATGATATTGGAAATAAAATATATAGTCATCTTTGAGGTTTTGCCAACTTTCTCTCATATACACATAGCTCGATACATGTTCAAAAGTTACATCCACCTAACGTGGTATTTGTCAGGGAAGGAGTATAGAACATATTTTATTCCATAACTTGTTAGTCTGATGTATAACCTGTAAATATTTAGACAGGTAGCCTCCCATCCCTGGCTGTACATCCAGAATGTACACCTGGCTTGCAACCAGGCTTTTTTTGGTTCTCTTAACAAACAGGAATCCATCCAGGGCCTTTTTCAGAACTGTGGGGCTGAGGTAGCCACCACTCTGGTCCCCCTTTGAGTGCTGACATCATCCCCTCCGAGAATTTAAGCTGCAGAGAGGCCAAATTTCCAGGGCATAGTCCTGGGCCAGAGAAGTCTCCACAGGTAAGTCTATTCAGGTCATCAGAAGCGCCTTCAGAATGCAGGCCGCAAACAGTGCTTCATAAAGTTATGGTACTTCACGCGCTCTCTCTCCCATTCAAACTGCTCCCTTTCCAGCTATTCCACCCACTCATAAAGTGGTACTCACAGAATGCCTTCCTGGGGTTCTGCCTCCATTCCCGATCCGCTGTCTCCCGACCCCAGGATGTCCTACTCTGCGTCCTGCTGGAGAGAGAAGCAGGAGGTGGGACAAGGCAGTACTGCCATGGTTACTCTGTGAGACCTGCCCTCTTGTTTCTCAGGTCGAGTGGCCATCAGTGAAAAACTTTTCTCTCTCGCCTCCTTTCAGCTACCGTCTGTGGAAATTTCTCAGGCAATGGCCCTGGTCTGTGGATTCAGCACTTGTAAGGTTTGCATTGTGGCAGTTGCAGCCATCCCTGCATCGTCCTTGCTGTCAACGAGGAGGCCATACACGTGTTTGGCATCTTGCCCTGGTGCACGGTCTGTGTAGCTTGACTGGATGTCAACCCTTCAGGAAAATTTATCACGACGACCTGACGGTCCTGGCTCTTCTCGCTCACCACTCTGGAACCGGACTATGCTGAACTCTGAGGAGCCCCGGCCAACGCCCGCTTCTTCTTGGCATCCTCACCCCCCTAAACCATCAGAGCAACTCTCTCTGTCAGATGGTCTGTTCATTCCAGGCGCCGGCGGCTCCAGCGGGGCTCATCCCGCGCAGCAGAGCTTGCGGGCGGGGCGTCAGGGGAACCCGGTACCCCAGGACCCGTGGGCTCCACGCCCGCCGGCGCGCTTCTGCCTCCGCTGAGACTGCCGCGTCCTACGCCTCCCCTGTCTCAAAATTTTAAAAAGAATACGGGGAGGGTAAAGTGCCTAGGTCCACCCCGTCCCATCACGCCCCGCGCGGAGCACGAGACCCTCTTGAAAGAGCGCGGGCCGGCCTGGCGCAGGCGCAGACTGCTGGAGCCCAATGACGCAGGCGCAGTGACGGTAGGCTGCGAAATCTGGACCCTGCAAAGTTCCACCTGAGTGACAGAGCTTTGTTAAGGTCGGACCCGAGTTCTGAACCGTGCTCAGAGCTCGCTTGTGAGCCAGGGTAGAGGGAGGGATGGAGAACGCCCCCCCACACACACTGGGAGGCGGGAGGCCTGCCTTAGCGCCTCCCCTTCCTAGAGGACTCCGCCTCGTGGACAACCTGTGGCCTCCACCGATTTTACGATTTGACAGAGCAGAACCGTTTACAACTGGCCAGTGCTTCTCCACCCGGTGTTGCCTCTTTCCTAGGAGGAAAGCTTTCTCACGAAATGACAGGTTTTTGAATCGCGCCCTTCTTTCAGAAGGGCTCGGGGAGTATGAAGGGATGGTCCGGGCTACTTTCTTGTCGCGAGATTTCCTGTAGCTTCTTGGCATGGGGCCACCCCACGGGCTTCTCTGTTCACAGTATTCTATGCCCTCAGCAAGCTTTATTCAGCCAGGAATCACAAAGAGCCCCAGAGATATGCCACAGGAGGCCTATGGTCCCGAAATCTTCAGTGAAGGTGGCCTCAGAGATGCCATTTTTACCTCCACTGAGATGAGGGCCGAATTCAATAACAGGCTAGCAATTTGGGGTCTACAGAATGCAGGATGCACAGCTACACTGATCTCCTACTTCAGTTTTTTGTGTGTTTGTTTTGTGTGTGTAGTTTTAGAGAGAGTCTCCCTTTGTAGTTCAGGCTGACCCTGAGTTAGGCAGCCCAGGTTGGCCTCGAACTCACTGCTATCCTCCTTCCTCAGCCTCAGGGCTGGAATTACAGGGATGCGGTATCACGCTTGGCTTTTTTTTTTTTTTTAATGTAATTCAAACTTGGAGTGATTATGAGAATTGCTTAAGTTAGTGACAATAACTGGAAACTATGGTGAAACCCAATCATGCTGTCATTTTGTATTGCTTTTAAGTAGTCTTTACTGGAAGAGTTCTGCTTATGTTTACTTTTATGTGGATTTAAAGTGTGTGAGCTTGACTACCTCCCTTGAGTTTCCAGAGATTGGCAAAGCTTTTCTTTCTTTTCTTTTTTTTTTTTCCTCTCTCTCTTTGCTACTGGGGATTGAACTCGGGGCCTTGCACTTGCAAGGCAGGTGGCAGAACCACTGAGCTAAATCCCCAACCCCAAAGCATTTCTTAATGCATTGTAGAAACCCTATTCCGAGTTAACTAGCCAATCAGTTTTGCTTTTGCAGAGCAAGGACAGTACTACATTGTGCCCTGATTCAACCACCTTTCCTTTCTCTTGGACCATTTCATTTCCTGATTGGCGATTTGATCTGTCTACTTACTACTCACCTTGCTGTCTGTTCTTGTCTGTGTTGCTTTCCTCATTGATTTAATCTTCACTGACCTGAGAACTCTATGCAGTATTGTCTCCAGATATATCTCACCTATACCTCTGTACCCTGTTGAACACTCTCTTTTAACCTGGATCCACTTGCTATGATTGAATGATCACCTGTCAGATGTTCTTTAAGGTTTGGACTTTGATTTGCCTGTTTGTAACTTCTGGACCAGCTCTCATAGCTACTTAGTACAGATGGTACTGGAAAAATTGTAAAACAACTACTTGTTATCATTTTGTGGCAAATGAGTTTTTAGTGCTGTTTGGACCTGAGACTATTTCATAGGCTTTCCATTTGGAGAATTTCACAGTGTACAGCCCATGACTCACTGATGGAGTGGTGAAGGAAATGTTCAGCAAGTAAGTATAAGTCTTGAAATTATTTCTGTACTTAGCACAGAGCCTGTTTCCCCACCCCCCAATTTGTTTTTGTTTTTGTTTTTTCAACAGGGTCTCATTGTGCAGTTCAGGCTGGCCTTGAACTCAGTATGTAGCCTAGGCTGGCCTCAAACTCACCATGATTCTCCTACCTCTGCCTCCCAAGTGCTAGGATTACAGGCAGTCCCAATTCTGGCTAAAATCAAGGTTTCTGAGGTCTTGATTTTGAGTAGTACTTTTCCTGGTGTGGCTGTAAAGAAAATGCTTGCCAACAAGAACCATGACAAGATTATCCCTGGTGGCAACTGTCTGTACTACCTCTCAGAGCCCCTTGAAGCTTTTTGTTGTTGTTGTTGTTGTTACCGGAGTTCGAACTTAGGCCCTTGTGCTTTTGAAGCAGGTAGTGGAACCCCTGAACCAAATCCCCAGCCCTCCCTTGAAGCTTTTGGTTGTCCAGTAAAACATCACTATGTCTCACTGT